ATTTTGGACAACATAGAGGTTTAGGAAGACGGTCTTGCAATCCTACTATCCATGCACTGGGTCATCAGGAGAACAAGTTGAGGGTGCAAAGATCTATTGCCATAAGTATAACCCCTAAAGGAAACACTAAGGGTTCAAAGCGCCCAAAAGAGGGAATAACAATAACTACAAGTCCATTAAAAAGAAGAAAGAAATAAAGTTATTAGGATACAGACACATCACTTAGGTTGCAGAGAGTTACCTTTGTTTGGACCTCTGTTATAGTTTTTGTTCTAAGTTTCTGTAGTTTTTATAATTGATTGAAGATTTTCTCCAAGTATGCCCTTGATTGTTCATAGTTATTTGATGAAGGACACATTAACTTTTGGTTTTAGCCCCATTTATAACTGTGTTGAGAGCATTTTTAAAGATTTTCTTACTGAGAAAAGTTTTAATGAATCAAAAGCATAAATGTTTTATAAAACGTTTTTGGGCAACATGTCAAATTTGAGTTCATCAACAGGGCGATTGGCCATTCTGTATTTTCCAGTACTTTGCCAGCTGAATGCTGAACCCCTTTAGGTCTAGGTTATACATGGGAATAGGCTTAAAGGACATTATTGCCATTGGGCTAGCATATCCAAATGTAGCATTTTAAAGCTTTAACATTTTGCCTATCTTTAATCAAAATTGTCTGTTGTTACTCCATTAAAGAATGAAGTAGTGCACATGCAATCTTAACCTAGAACATGCAGAAAAGACCATGTAACACGCATATATTACAGCATTATTAACAGTGAAAGCAGTGGATATACTATAGACACTATATTTATTTATTTGAGTGAAGTAATCACTTTTTCTGGGCTTAGAATAAATTGGGGATTTTAGTAGAATATGTGTAGCTTATTTAAACTTCTCCCCCTATTTTTCCACTGGAAGGTCCAACAAAAGTAGCTTTTTTAATCAAAAGTGCCCATTTAACTCCACTGCTCTGATTAAAAGTATTGTACCCTTATTAGAACCCTTATTCAGGTGACCTCAAGTTGTTGCGTTGAATTTTGTTGTCCCCTTGCCTCTATTTTGATTATTTTGTTTATTTCAAGCCTGTAAGGAATTTAAGGATTGTTTTTAAATAAAAATTGTTCTGTTCTCAGTCATGTTAAAAAATCAGCAAAAATAATTTTTTTAAAATCTTCTGTCATGTGATTGAGAGGAAAACAATTGTTCAGATAGTTCAATAAGTTCAGTTTAGCACAAATACATCTAATTGTTATCCATTTATAGTCTGGGCCTAGAATGCTAGTTTGGGGATATGGGTGGATATTTGGGTACATCAGTACAACAATACATCATAGGGAACTTGTCCTGAGCTCTATTGAAGCATATTTGTAAGAAAATAAAAAAATTAAACATTAGAACATTTGGGGCAAAGCATGTTTTTTGGCATGAGGCTATGGTTTTGGTTGAGGCTATTTCAGGGTATGCTGGTGAACAGAGAACAAGAAATTTGAAGCAAAAAAGTTACAAATTCTATTTTTGGGAAATGATCTTATCCTGTAAAATAATTCTAAAAAGGATCTTATCATCTCCAAAACAACTTAACAAATTACAACTTTTTGTCCTTTGAAACAGATTTTAACTTTTTTCTCAAAGCCTTTTCTTTTTTCTGTTTCCTTGATGTTGACTTATAGTTCTCAATCAAATGTTTTGCATGGGCATGGGCTCTCAACTTCACATATATTTTGATGCTGTCTTTTAATATGACTTTCTGCATGTTTTCAGGTACATTTTTTGAACTGAATATTGATTTTGTTCTTATACTGTAGTTTCCATTTGCTTCCTGACTGAAGAATTGGGATACAATGGCTGCCACATTAATTTTTTTAACACCACCAGAAACGGAATCTTGAAATAACTTTTCTGCTCTGTGAAAAAGGTCAGCAAATGAAGCTTTCGGATAAACAAACCCTCCACGGTCAAGAGTTTCTATCAGTTTTCCAGTGTAAACTCCAGTAGAGTGACTACTCTTGCAGCAATTTAAAGCTTCAATTCTCTTTTTGAGTGCCAATTCTGCATTTTCATTTATTCGTGGCTTCTGCAAATTGTCATAGGCCTTTTTAATTAACTTGGACAAAACTGCTCCACAGATATATGTGACAGTCTCTTTTTCTTGCTCCTTCAGTCGTGCTTCGGAGGCTACAAAAGAAACTTGAACTGAAGCATTAAAATTATATTTTGACACTTCTTCTTGGCAATATAACAACAGCCAGGAACAAAAGTATTTAGGTACATCGAAGCATTCAATCAGCTTGTCAGTAACATTTGCGTTTATCCAAACCTTGCTGAAACGAGTCCACATCATCTCCATTGAAAAAGATTTCATGTCTACGGTCTGTGCAAGGACTTCATCAAGGAAAGATAGTTCTGGTATACTTTCAAAGTTGATTTTTGATAAACGTCCTATCACATTAGCAAACATCTCACACAACATTTCATTTTTCTGCATTACTTCAAGTGCATTCCTGAGCATCACGCGGACATCAACGTGAAATTTTGGCTTACTTGTTTCCCCGATACGCGCATCAGATTCGGTATTGCCCTTCTTCGCTTTTCTCCGCCGTTTTTTGATAGCATTTTCCTCAATAAGCAGCTCAATCCTGTCTTCATTGCAAAATGCTATCGTTGTCACCTGTAGATGAAAGCGAATCAAAAATCAGTAATGAGTGAAGGTGTAGGCTTGGGCCTATTTCTAATGATAAGAGATCAAGTGAACGCAAGATTAAAATTCAACAAAATTCAAAAATAAAACAGACCCTTACCTCTGCCGAATCTTTAAGCATTTCTTCGTCTATATCAGGACCAAAATAATCAAATTCCATCTTTTCTACCACAATCAACTGCGACCTTCGCTTTTCTTCCAAAAAATACGCTGAACCGGAAATGAGGATACCCTACAACTTTTTCGATAACACTGTTGTGAAGATGAGAATAATCGCCTTTTGTTCTCAGCTCAGTGTCCTATCCAGTCTCCCTTCCACGATCTTTGATTAAATTAAAAACTTACCTGGTTGTGTTTTGTGACACTTTGAGTGTGAGTTTGAATGTTCTCGATCAGGAATGAATCAGTTTGGTGCTGGCAACTCTATATATTTTTACCTTGCAGCGTGGTTGTAGGTGATGGGGTAAACATTTAGGTTTATTTTCGTTGTTAATTGCAAAATAAGATAGATATAGGTTGTATGCTTTGTTTAATTGGCTGCTTTGAGCTTTATTGATATGGTGATTAAATGTGTTTCGGAATGGTGGCTGTAGATGATTGAGGAAGCATTAATGTATAACGTATATATCTTTCTAATTGGGTAGTTGTGTCGATACTTATTCATGAAAATATGCGGAATTAATATGCTTGGTACTGCCTTATTGTTCTTATATAATAGTTCTGTGAGAAATATTGTTCCAAATTGTAAATATGGGAAAATACTTAGAATGAGTAATGAAAATAGACAATGGGTTACAACTTTGTTTGTCATTTATTCGAGGCTAAGAATATAAATATATATATGGTAACACTTAAAAATAAATATTCTCTTGGTTACACTTTATTGATATGGTGGGTCTTTTTGCTTTTTCTGTTTTTTTTGCCTGTTTCGACTTTTCTTATCTGTTTTGTTTTCAGACAGATGTAAACGATTGTTCTGGGTCTATGAAAAAGATGGTAAAAATGAATTGAGAATTTTGTATGAGCAGGGGGTGGAAGAAGGGTAACAATAATTGTTTTCTGTTGGTTACAATGATAGTCGATGAATAAAAAGTTGTGCGTTAACATTAACTCATATTACCTGATGTTATGTAGGGGTTTGCTTTCGCGGTCGGCGAGATAGAATGCTGTTGCTCTGCTAAAATTTAAAAG